GAAGGCCCCAGTGGCTGCCGTTCGCATGGCGGTCGCCGCCCATTTCGGCACACCCCTCACACGTTTCGTGGCCCCATAGGGAGCCCACCGAGGCCCCAGTGGCTTGCGTTCGCATGGCGGCGCCCGCACCGATTTCGGCCACCTCACACGGTTTTCGTGGCCCCATTTAGGGGAGCCCCACCGAAAGGGCCCCAGTGGTCTACGTTTCGCATGGCGCCGCCGCACCATTTCGGCACACCCCTCACCGTTTCGTGGCCCCATAGGGAGCTGCACCGAAAGGCACCGAAGGCACCCAGTTGCTGCGTTCGCATGGCGGCCCCTCCGCAAGAGGTTCGGCACACCCCTCACACGTTTCGTGGCCCCATAGGGAGCTCCACCGAAGGCCCCAGTTGCTGCGTTCGCATGGCGGCGCCGCACCCATTTCGGCACACCCCTCACACGTTTCGTGGCCCCATAGGGAGCTCCACCGAAGGCCCCAGTGGCCGCGTCCACATGGCGGCGCCGCACACATTTCGGCACCCCTCACACGTTTCGTGGCCCCATAGGGAGCTCCACCGAAGGTCCCATTGGCTGCGCCCGCATGCGGTTCCACCCCCCATTCTGGCACACCCCTTCACACGTTTCGTGGCCCCATAGGGAGCTCCACCGAAGGCCCCAGTGGCTGCGTTCGCATGCCTCCCCACCACCTTTCGGCACACCCCTCACACGTTTCGTGGCCCCATAGGGAGCTCCACCGAAGGCCCCAGTGGCTGCGTTCGCATGCGGCGCCGCACCCATTTCGGCACACCCCTCACACGTTTCGTGGCCCCATAGGGAGCTCCACCGAAGGCCCCAGTGGCTGCGTTCGCATGGCGGCGCCGCACCCATTTCGGCACACCCCTCACACGTTTCGTGGCCCCATAGGGAGCTCCACCGAAGGCCCCAGTGCTACCGCCCTCATGCGTCCCGTACGCCCAGGACAGCGTTTCGTGGCACGCCTTTCGTGGCCCCATAAGGAGCCCCACCGAAAGCGGCACCCACAAAGCGTTATTCACAATTGCATATGGTTGGGTCCTTCGCCAGGATAATTTAGTGAATTTTGGAGTTCTCCTCTTTTCGGCTCCCCGACGCTCCAAGACGGCGGTCTTCTGGGCGTCCGAAGCCGCCTGGGAGGCTCCACAATCGCCCCACAACCATCCGAAAGGGCTTCCAGGCAGTCCAAGAGAGCCCCAAAGCAGCACAACACGGGTCCAAGATGGCCCTCAGAGAGCCCCATGGCGGCCCACGATGGCCCAAAGACACCTTCCGAAGCATTTCAAATCGTGACCCGGTCGTTCAGGGAGACCGCGGTTGGAGGCAGAGTGGCCCGAGAAAGCCCCCAGAGGCCCACAGAATACGCTCAGGAGGCCTCCAGAAGGCCTTAAGAAAACTTGAAACAACTTTTGTGAGGCCCCCAGAGGCTCTCCAAGAAGGAGCCTCCGCAAAAAAGAGCTGAGGAGGATGGGGAGAATGCGCAGGGTATGGCGAAACTAAGGAAAAAGAAGCATTGAGGAAGGACAACGAATAACATGATTATAGCGGCGATGCCGGAAGAGGCAACAAGGAGTTGTCGCCAAATCGTCGGCTTGACCTTCCTGCTAGTTCGCCTGCATACCAAACTTCAAGGACCAAGGTGCAGTGGCGCGAAGCGCCACTGCAGTCTTGTATATACAGTGCCGCGTTTTTTAATGCATGCTCCGCGCGCGGATCATGTATTAAAAATGCAGGGATCTAGTACCAAAAACAACGATGAGTTCATGCATCAGTTCCTTATTCCTGAATGAATCATGCATTAAACATCATACATGTTTCAAAATCCAGGGTTAAAAATAACTGCCCTGAATGTATATATATATATATATGTATATATATATATACATATAGATGTATATGTATACATATACATATACATATACATATATATAGATGCAAACATATAATTATATATACGCACGTTTATATATACACACACAACGGGGGACCGGGTCCGGGGGCCGGAGGCCGGGACCACGACCGCAGCTGTGGGGCCAGGCGCGCCGGGAGCCCTGCCCGGAGCGCCGAGGGCCGTCCAGAAGCTCGCCCGAGGATCTGGACGCCCGAAATGGGTACTGAAAGAATGGGTACCATGCCCAACAGCGGATCTTGTTCATTTTGAACAGGGCTCGCTGTCCACGCCGCGGCGGCTTGTGTCCATTCGAGACAGGAGGCCGCCTGCCCAACAGCGGCCGCTGTTGGTTTGGGACAACATTTGCTGTTGGGCATGGTACCCATTCTTTCGGTACCCATTTCGGGCGTCCAAAGTCCAGAAGTTCGCCCGAGGATGGCCTCGCGGAGCGCTCGACGACGCGCTCCGAGGGCTCCTAAAACGACGCGAAGATCGGGACAGAATCGGATCGGGGTAGCTCGAAATCTCTGAGAGTCGGCGGGTTTTGGGAGGATGTATTGGGCGCCGCGGCCGCTCCAGAGCGTTCCGGAGCGCTCTGAGAGCGCTCCGGAACGCTCTGGAGCGATTTTTCCCGATCCTAGTCCTGTTTTAGATCCGGATGTCGGGGGCCTCCCGTCCCCCTTTTCGGATGCAGCTCCTGGGAGGTCAGATTCTGCCTTCGCCCTGGTCCGAGGTCTCGTTTCATCCGGCGCCATGCCGCTCATGATGCGGCTCAAGCGCGTTCCGTCCGGCCGAACCCCGCCCAATCCGCGGCCCAATCCTGCGCAGCAGCCCGCCAGTGGGGCTTCCCACGAAGACCTCCCAGCAGACCCCCGGCACCCCTCATTTAGGAGGCCATATGCGAACCCTACCCCTACCCCCCACGATTTCTGAGGGGGAGGGCGGGGTTCAGTTCGTTCGGGAGCTCTCCCGAGCGAAGTGAACCCCACCCTCCCCTTCAGAAGTCGTTGGGGTAGGGGTAGGGTTCGCATGTGGCCCCCTATAGGATGCCTTTCAAGACGACTCCCATGACGCCAAGAAGGCCCCCGGTGGCCCCGAAGACGCCCCAAGAGGCACCCCGAGAGAGGCCCAAGAAGCAAACATCGTCGGCTTCCTGTCGGCACACTGATCTTTTTGGCGTGTTCGCCTTTTGGGCTTCCACTGCGTCCGTCCAAGACGGCCCAAGAGGCACCCAAGCCGGTCGAGGATGCCCCCCAAGAGGGAGAGCTCCAAGACGGCCCACGAGGGGGCCAAGACGGCTTACGAGACCCCTAAACCGCCCAAGAACGCCCCCCAGGAGCTCAAGAGGCCTTTCCGGGGAGCCTCCACAGCGCCCCAGGAGGGCCCAAAACGACCCCAAGGAGCCCCCAGAATGCGAAAGGATAGTCCAAGACGCTCCCAAGCAGCCCAAGTCAGCCTTCCGTCGGCTCTCGAGGCTCCCAGGTGGCCTCCAAGAGACCCCAAGAATGGTCCGAGAGGCGTCCCGGGACGGCCCGAAGAGGCCAATATCGTAGATTTTGATGTGTTTTTCCAATGTTATTGGCTTCTCGCGTTTTCGAGCTTCCAATGGTCCAAGAGCGCCGAAGAGGCTCCCAAGACCGTCCCAAGACCACCAAAGAGACCTTCAGGACGGCTCCAAGACGAGCCCAGAAGGCTCCAAGACCGCCGAAGAGGCGCCCAGGACAGCTCCAGACCACCCCAGAACAGGCCCAAAATGGGCCCAAGAGCGGGAGCGTCCAGAGACCTCCGAGAGGCCTCTGGGGCCCGCCCCCAACACATCCCCGATCCCTGAGAGGCCCCAGAAATACCCCGACGAGGCTCCAAGAACAGCCCAAGAGAGCTGCGAGAGCCGTCCCGAGAGAGTCCAAAGAGGGTAAATTCGTTGATTTCCAATGTTTTTTCTGCTGTGTTCGCCTTCTGACGTTTTCCCGCTTCCAACCCTCGAAGATCGAGGATTCGTAGGAAAAAAGGGGATTCCCAGAATTCCCTTTTTTTTCCAAAGTGGAACTCCGACTCGGAGATCCCACACATCCCCTGACATCTGGCCGGTACCGCGCCACCCGGCTTCCCGGGGGGCCCTCGAGACGCCCATGGACAGCCCAAGACGACCCCAAGGAGCCCCCAGAACGTAAAGAACGGCCCAACACGCTCCCGCGCAGCTCGAGACAGCCTTCCGACGGCTCTCCAGGCCTCCAGGAGGCCTCCAGAACCCCCAGGGCGTCCGGAAGATCCCACACCCTTGATGGGCCCGGCTGACAAAACCCGCGAAGCACAAACAAAAAACAGTGCCGAACAGCGCCGAGGAACTGGAACACATGGAAATCCCACAATCCATTTTTTTTCTCAAGTTTGGCCCGCAGTCTACTCTTGCACAACAGACCACAACTCAGACTCCCTCACCTCCCTCCCCAAAAACAGGAAGCACTTGAGGGTCCCAAATCCTTGAATACCGAAAGGAAGTGGATGATTTCTGCGTTTCCGCATTTCCCCTTCTTTACGATTAGGAGGCTCGCGCAGGGCCTCCAAGGGCGCCCCTGGACGCAAGAAGCGACCAACATCAGATTGCATGAGTTGGCCGATCAAGCCTAACTAGAACTTGAACGCGCGCGAAGCGCGTGAGATGGTTCGAGTAGTTATATATGTATGTATGTTTGTATGCATGTACGTATGTATGTAGGAAAATATGTAGAGAGAAATAAAGAAATATCTATATAGAGAGAGAGAGGGAGAGAGAGACAGAGAGAGAGAGAGAGAGAAAGAGAGCGAGAGAGGGAGAGAGAGAGAGAGAGAGAGAGAGAGCGAAATAAACGTATATAGCATAGAGAAGGATAATTAAGAGAGAGGGTACAAAGAGATAGAGAACGAGAGAGAGAGAGAGAGTTTAGAGTCACACGCAAAGAGAGGGGAGATAGGGGACGAGAGGGCGAGGAGGAGGAGGAGGAGGAGGGCTGGGGCATGACCATAAACTTGACTGAAGCGTCCCGCGATAGTCTCATATTGAGAATGCAGCAGCCCTCTATCCTTGAGCAGTGCCTGCCTGCTTTCTGCCGCCTCCTGGTCGCCGAACTGCTTTTTCCTGGCACTGTTCGCTGTGCTGCGCTTGCCTCCGTGGTGCCCGTGCAGAGTGCTAACGTCTAGCCGAAGATTCCGCCAGTGCGGCGCCGCCTTCTGCGCACAGGCTCTCGGCTTCCTCGGCGTCGCCTTTCGACATCCGCCCTCTCGGATATCCCCGCCACAGGCGGGCTCGGCGAGCTCGCTGCTGAACCAGGGGTCCGGCCTCGAGAGGCGCTGCCGCAGGCCCAGCCCCCCCGGGGGGTGGGGGAGGGGAGCGGTGGGGGGCGGCGGCGGGTTGAGGGAGCCCCCTCGCCCTTCCGTCCCCGTCCTCCCCCCTGCCTCCCCCCCCCCCTCCGCCCCATGTCACCTCGCCCTCACTCTCTCCCGCTCTCTGTCTCTCTTTCTACTTTTCTCTCTCTGTGTGTGCGTCTCTTTTTTTGTTTTGTTCTTCTCTCTCTTTCTCTCTCTCTCTCTATATATATATATATATATGTCTCTCTCTCTCTCTCTCTTTGTTTCCAGCCTCGGGTCGAGAGCATTTTTGCTCAGGGCGAGCCCAGACACCAAGCGTCCCACCCCGCATCCTCTTCCAGCCTCGCGAGACCAGACACGACCCAGGTCGTGACAGACTGGCGCCACATCCCGTGTCATGTTCCCGCGAGCGCCGCAATGGTTCCAGAGAGCCCCCGCCGCGTTCCCCCAAAGACCGCCGCAGCTCAAGCCACCGGGTTGGGTCCACCCAGCGGGAACCTCAACGAATCGGCAGGATACCAACCTCAGTTGGAAGGAGACCAGCGTCGCCGCAGTCCAGAGCAGCGGTGGCGTCGACCGAGCAGCCGCCGCTTCCCACGAATTTGCTCACAGGCGTCAGTACGATCTTGACAGCATCTACCGACAACGCCGCTCCGACCAGCGTTAGTTTCGGGCGAGTTGGCGAAGCTGTGAGAGAGAAATCAGCTACAGCATGCTGTGCCGCCCTCAGAGTCACAAGACGGGCACCAATCGTGATTCAGAAAGGTCCACGGTTTTTGCCAATGCCCACCAGGGCAACGGCGCCGCCCCTCGCATGAACAGTGATTCGCCAACTTGGGAGGTCCCGATCGCGCCTGCGCTTTATAGGCCCGATCGCGTGACCTCGCATATCAATAGCGTCCACCAGCACCCTACCAGGGCCGAAGCACTGACCGAGGATATTTGGAAATCCGTGGTTTTCTACTTCCCCGCTGCTTCGGAAAAGGGGTAGCCGCCACCAGAGGACCCTGGACTAAAACCCTTGCAGCCGCTGCCATACCCTAGGAGTGCACCTGCCAGGGTGGAGTTCAGCGCAATCTCAGGCGAGGCCGGCGGGACACCTTTGGCAGGGCAGCTCGCTACGTCCGCCAGGACCGAAGCGTGGTCCGACCCCGCAGGCTCAGTCCCAGTCCCAGTCTCCGCTCCTCCGCGCATCCAGGAAGGCACCGGTGTGATGCTCATCAGCCAGCTGTAGAGAACCCAGTGAAAGGCCACCACGGCGCCGTCCTCGGATGCATAGGGATACGGAATCAGCACTGGGTTACAGCGTTGGCCAGCGGCAACATCGCCGCCCACCTCAAGTCTGGCCCTAATTGGCTCCCAGCACGAGCTGGGGAGGGGCAGCGCGGCCTCGACGCCAGGGCCCAGGACAGCAGTGACGGCAAAATCGCCGAGGACGGGAGCCAGGGGGGACGCGCCAGACCCGCTGGCGCTCACGCCAAACCCTGGAATGGCTCCGAAGTAGCGCGGGAACCCGTGCCGGGGGGGGGGGCTGGCTTCCGAGGCCAGCAGGAGCACCAGGGACTGCGGCACCGACAGAGCTCGCGGACTCCCAGAAGCTCAGCTCTCGGCAGTGGAAGCGCCTTATGACAAGGTCCGCGACGCCGAGGGCGCCACGCAAGAGCTCATCGGCTGCGACCCCTCGCGGGCCCTGGACCGTGATGACGGCCGGAAAATTAAGGTGCCGATTGCGCTCCGCGCGGCGATGGCGATGTCCGCGCGGGCGGGCCTTATCTCTTCTCCCTCGACCCCAGCTCTCCCCCACCGCGCAGCTGCGACATGCAGCGCAGTTATGCTCTTATTACCGCCGCGGGGCGATCGGGGGTCTTCGCTTGCCTCGTCTCGCAAGTTTCATTCGAATCCCGCACTCCGCGAAGCACCGCTGCAGCGCGCGCGCAACGACCGTGCCGGGCGCGGGCGCGCAAGCGCTTCATCTTCATTGGCCCCGCGGTTGCGGCCATCTCGGCGAGCAACGCGACGAGCGCCAAGTCTGATCGCGCCGCGCGCAGCGCCAGGTAGCTGACCGCGCCCGACACGGCGAAGTCGAGCACCGCGAGTGCCATCTCGACGCTGAGCTGCGCGTCGGAGAGCAGCAGCTCGACCCCGCCGCCCGCGACCGGGGCGGGCGTCGCCTCGAGCGCCTCGCCGCCGCCCACTTCGCCAGACACCTGCGCCTCGACGTCGGCCAGCGGCGCGGCGGAGAGCAGCAGCTCCACCACGTCGTTGGCCACTGCCTTGAGCATTGCGTCACCGAGCACCGCGACGGGCGCCAGCGGCGCGCCGTCGACGAGCGCGTCGGCGAGCGCCAGCTCGACCCCAACGCGCGCCAGCGGGGCGAACCCTGCCTCGAGCGCCGCGCCGCTGAGCGGCGCGACGGGCGCCGGCATCTCGACGTTGAGCAGCGCCGCGCTGAGCGGCAAGACAAGGGCGCCAGCGCCCCGGCGCGCGCCGGCTGGCCGTGCTCTGCCTCGAGCGCCGCGCCGCTGAGCGGCGCGACGGGCGCTGGCGCCTCGACGCGGAGCGCCGCGTTGCTGACCGCCGCGGCGGGCGCCAACAGCGCGTCGTTGAGCAGCGCGACGGGGGGCGCCGGCGCCTTGAGTTGCCCCGAAATCCATGCCGCTGAGCTCCCCGACCGGCCCGACGCCCGCGCGCGGGGCGAGCGCTGTCTCGAGTGCCGCGTCGCTGAACGCCGCGACGGCACTGGCGGCGCATCGCGCAGCTGCGCGTCGGAGAGTAGCGCCCTGACCCCGACGTCCGCGGGGGGCGGGCGTTGCCCTCGGCGCCACCTCGTTGACCGCTGCCTGGAGCGCCGCGTCGCTGAACGCCGCGACGGGCGCCGGCAGCGCGCTGTCGAGCAGCGCGCCAGCGAGCGGCAGCTCGACCCTGGCGCGCGCCAGCGGGGCGAGTTCTGCCGCGAGCACCGCGTCGTTGCGCAGCGCGACGGGCGCCTGCGCATCGACGTTGGGCAACGCGTATGGAAGCGACCTTCCGACCCCGACGCCAACGAGCGGGGCGATCGCCTCTTCGAGCTCGCAGCGCATCGGCGAGCAGGGCGCCCGAGAGCGGCGCCGCGACCCCGACGCCCAGGAAGAGGGCAAGCACTGGCCCGAGGGTTGCGTCGCGGACCGCCGCGACGCGGATTGGCGCTTCGGCGTTAGGCTCCACGTTGGAGAACAGCAATTCGATTCTCACGTCCACGAGTGGGGTTGGGACCTCTGCGAGCACCGCGTCGCTCGGCAGCGCGTCCGCTACCTGCGGCGCCAGCGCGTCGGAGAGCACTGGCTCGAGCCCGACGCGCGCCAGCGGGTCGAGCATTGCCTCGAGCACCGCGTCCCCGAGCAACGCGACGGACAGCGGCATCCCGGCGTGGATCAGCGCGTCGCAGAGTAGCAGCTCGACCCCGATGCCAACGCGCGGGGCGCGCGTTGCCGCGAGCACCGCGCCGCTGAGCACCGCGGCCAGCACCGGCAGCGAAACGTCGGGCAACGCGCCGGGGGGCCGCAGCTCGACGCCGACGCCAGCGCGCGGGGCGAGCACTGTCTCAAGTATCCTGTTGCTGAGCACCGCGACCGGATCCGGCAGCGCAGCGTTCGGCAGCGCGTCTGAGAGCAACAGCTCCGCCCTGACGTCCACGAGTGGGGCGAGCCCTGCCCCGAGCACCGCGTCGCCAGGCCATGCGAGGGGCATTAGCATCGCAACGTTGAGCGGCGCGTCGGCGAGCGGCAGCTCGACCCTGACGCCCGCGCGCGGAACGAGCGCGTTCTCGAGCGCCTTGTCGCCGACCGCCACGACGGCGCGTGACGGGCGCTGGCAGCGCATCTTTGAGCTGCGCATCGGAGAGCAGCGCCTCGACCTTGCCGCGCACGAGGGGGGCGAGCACTGTCCTCAGCGCCACCTCGTTGACCATTGTTTCCAGTGCTACGTTCCTGACCGCGTCGGGCACGAGCAGCGCGCTGTCGAGCGGCGCGTCGGCGATGACCAGCTCGACCCTGACGCGCGCCAGCGGGGTGTGCGCTGCCTCGAGCACCGCGTCGGTGACCTGCGCGCCAGGCGCTGTCATCTTGACGTTGAGCAGCGCGTCGCTGGCCGCCGCGGCGGGCACCGGCAGCGCAGCTCTGGGCAGCGCGGTCGAGAGCGCCATCGCCTCGACGCGTGCCGACGGGAGGGGCGCTGCCTCGAGCGCCGCATGGGCGTGCTACGCGACGGGCGCTATCATCTCGACGTAGAGCATCGCGTTGCTGACCGCCGCGGCTGGGGCCAACAGCGCAGCGCTGAGCAGCGCGACCGGGGGCGCCGACCCCCTGACGCTCGCCGGCGTTTATTCGAGCACCACACCGTTGAGCTCCGCTACCAGCACTGGCATCTCGACGCTGAGCATCGCGTCCGGGAGCTGCAGTTCGACGCCCGCGAGCCCACGGGCGGGGCGAAAGCTGTCTCGAGCATCGTGTCGTTGAGGGCGGCAGATCGACCCTGACGGCCATGAGTGGGACGAGTGCCGCCTCGAGTACTGCCTCGAGCGCTACAAGGTCCATGGCCCATTATCTCCACGATCCGCACTGGACCACGGGGGGTGGGGATCGTGCGTCGGCTATTCCACGAGCCGCGCGAGCTTCTCCCTGTTTCTACGAGCCGTATTGGCCCACCGGGGATGAGGCGCGAGTTTCGCCTTCTTTCCATATACCGCATTGGCCCATTGGGGGTGGAATGCGAGCTTCGACCAGCACGTCGGCGAGCAACAGCTCGACACTGACGCGCAAAAAGCACAGCCCGCCTGGATCGCCCTTCATCGGGCCCGCTCGCCCCGGGGCGTCTTCCCAGGCGAGCGGCCAGGCGCGCCTGGATGCCCACAAGTAGCACACCAGTGTCCCCTTCTCCTATGAGCGTACACCGCGATATGCTGACATCATTTCCGCAGCTCTAGGGCCGCTGCGGGGATGCCCCAAGGCGGCGCCAGTCACTTCGCTAATGTGCTGCGTCGCGCATTCCGCATTCCAGCGCGCGTGTAAAGCCGGCGCTACTGTCACGGCTGCGCAGACGGGCCCCTGAGCGGCCTGATCACCGCATACCCGTTTGGCTTTCCAGCCTTGTCCCCCCGTTGGCCGCGCCAGGGGGGAGGTCATCCCACCACCTTTGTTTCGCACGCGGCGCCTCCCGCTTTGCGAGGAAGTTGTGCGAGGCGCTAGTAGCGTCGGGGCCTGGCGGACTTCGGCTCGTGGAGCTGGTGCGATCTCTCTCCCTCGCATATATATATATATATATATATATATATATATATATACACTCTATTTCTCTGCCTCCGTCATTATTCCCCCCCTCCCCCACGCGCACAGACATGTTTGTTTTCCCGGCGCGAGCGCACTCGCTGGTGGTCACGGCAGTGGCGAGCTGCGGCGGGGACCACCTGACGGACGGAGGGCAGGGGATTGTGGACCATGCGGCTTGCTATGCCATTATTGTGAATTTCGCACTCTCGCCTCGGCGCCGCGCAAGTTTTTCAAAAACGTTATTCTCGCCTCGGCGCAGCGTGCATCTGTTTGTCCATTATATTTGCTTTCTTCGTCTCTGTGCGTTCCGTTCGTTTGTGTGTAGGAGGAAGACGAGGAAGTATGAAGGCCGCCTTTTTTCATCACGTGACCGCTTTTCCAAATACGATTCCCATTGAAAGCGTTTACAAAAAGGATTCCCATTGAAACCCGTTTCACGAGGATTCACATTGAAAGCCATTACAAAAGGATTTCTATTGACAGAGAGCCTCTACAAAAGGATTCCTACTGAAAGCCTCCACACAATGATTGATTCCTATTGCGCGCCTCTACACAAGGATTCCTACGGAAATCCTCTACACGAGGTTTCCTATTGAAAGCAAATACAAACGGATTCCTATTGGGAGCCTCTACGCAAGGATTCCGATTGAAAACCTGTGCAGAAGGTTTAATTTTGAGAGCATCTACAAAATCATTCCGATTGAAATCGTCTACACAATGATTCTGAATGAGATCCTTTGCGCAAGGATTCTGATTGAAAACAAATACAAAAAATATTCGTACTGAGAGCCTCTACAAAAAAAGGATTCCGATTGAGAACATCCACGCAAGGATTCCTATATTTTTTTTGCAAAAGGATTCTGGTTGGAAACGTCTACAAAAGGGTTCCTATTGAGAGCCTCTACAAGAGGATTCCGATCAGAAGCCTCTGCAATAGGAGTCTTCTTGGTAGCATTTACTAAAGGATTCCTATTGAAACCCGTTACTGTATGATTCCTCTTGAAAGCCAGTGCAAAAGGATTCCTATTGAGAGCCTCTACACAAGGATTCCTATTGAAAGCCTCTACAAAAGGATTCTTATTGAGCGCCTCTACAAAAGGATTCCTATTGGAATCTTCTACACGAGGATTCCGATCGAAAGCAAATACAAAAGGATTCCTATTGAGAGCTTGTGCGCAAGCGTTCCTATTGAAAGCCATGTATAAAAAAGCATTCCTATTGAGAGCATCTACAAAAGGATCCCTATTGAAATCATCTACACAATGATTCCGAATGAGATCCTCTACGCAAGGATTCTAATTGAAAGCAAATTCCAAAGGATTCCTATTGAGAGCCTCTGCACAAGCATTCCTATTGAGAGTATCTACGCAAGGATTCCTGTTCAAATCCGTTACAAAAGGATTCTCGTTGAAAGTTTCTACAAACGGGTTCCTATTGAGGGCCTCTACGAGAGGATCCCGATTCGAAGCCTCTACAATAGGATTCCTCTTGAGAGCGTTTACAAACAAATATTCCTATTGAAACCCGTTACAGTATGATTCCTATTGGAAGCCAGTGTAAAAGGATTCCTATTGAGAGCCTCTACAGAAGGATTCCTATTGAAAGCCTCTACACAAGGATTCTTATTGAGTGCCTCTACAAAAGGTTATTGGAAGCCAATACAGAAGGATTCATACAGAGAGCCTCTACATAAGGATTCCTATTGAAAGCATCTACAAAAGTATTCCTATCGAGCGCCTCTACAAAAGCTGCTTGAGCCTCGGGCTGCTTGAGCCCGAGGCTCGGTCGGGGTGCAGTGTGCTAGCTCGCATTAGTTGCCCCCTCCTCCTCCTCCTCCTCCTCCTCCTCTTCCACCTCCTCCTTCTCCTCCTCCTTGTCCTGCTCGTCGTCGTCGTCCTCCTCCTCCTCCGCCTTCATCCTCCCTTCACCGTCCTCCCTCCCCATCCGCCTTCATCATCCCCTCCCTTCTCCCACATCGGCAAGGAAAAAAACAAAAAAACCCAAGGACCCCCCCCCCCAACAAAAAGAAAATCAAAGGTTAGGAGCCGAAAAACAGCCAACAACCTAAGGAAAACCAAACAACAACAAACAAAAACAAATATTCCAGCATGCATTCGGGAGGAAGGGGGAGGGGGCGGCGGGGAAAACCTGCCCGCCGGCGAGGTGCGGCACCACGGGCAGGGGCCGAGCAGGTGCGGGGCACGGCACGGAGGCGGCACGCGCGCGCACGACCTGTCGGGAGGGGGGGGGGAGAACAAGAGCACAGACACGAGGAATCGTCGAACCCCCCGGAAATGCAGGGAAACCTGGGGAGTGTGGGGGGGGGGAAGACGAGAACCCCAAAAATATGGGAAAGTATGGGGAATCTGTTTATGTGTGTGTATCGGGAAGAAGCGGGGCATATTTTTATATTTGTGTGTATTTCTTTGTGTGTCCTGGGGCCCCCTTTAGCTTGTTCCTCGAGCGGCGAGGTGGCGGCCCCGTCGCGGTATGCTGGGGCGGGGCGTGCCCGGTGCGATGGCCGCCTGGCGTGTCGCAGAGGGGGGGTGCGGACGAGCAGGCAGGCGCACGCAGGAGAGCGCGAGAGCGGGAACCGCCGAGGTGGCCATGGGAGGGCAGGGGCACGCGGAGCACAACGCTCAGGAGGGGGAAACACACACAGACACAATTCATCATCGATTCCCCCGAGAATATGGGAAAATATGGGAAGTGGGGGGGAAGACAAAAAGCCCAGAAAGTTTGGGAAAACATGGGGGATCCGGTTATTTGTGTCTATTTATGTGTGTGTGTGTGTGTGTGTGTGTGTGTGTGTGTGTGTGTGTGTGTGTGTGTCCCAGGGCCCCTTCAAGCACGCACAGAAATGCTGGATGCGAGTGAGGCGTCCACAACCTTTCTCTCGGCAGCCCAGCTGCAAGGGTGCTGTACGGAAGCTGTGGCCAGGCAGGTGGAACAGGCACATACGCAGAACTGGCCCAACTTGCACAGTGATGCAGGAGCGGGTGAAGCGTTCACATTTTTTTCCGAGGCCCACTTGTCCTCGCGCGCACACACACACCCACATACACGCACACATACACATACACATATACATACACACATACACACACACACACGCACACACACACACACATTTGCACGTCTTTTCGGCGGCAGTGGCCCAATGAGACACCCATCGAGCGGCACATTTGCATGATAGGACAGTGCGCGTGGCGGCGATGAAGCCACTGACCCCCACACAGACAAACACACGCGCACACCCCCCCCTCTCCATCTCTCCCCTCCCTCCTCTCGCCCGCTCCCTCCCCGTCCCTCTCCCTCTCCTGCGCCCCCGTCCCCTCCCCCCTCTTTTCGTTTTCCCCGCCCCCCCCCTTCTTGCCCCCGCCCCCTTCCTTCGGAGGAGGAGGGCGAGCCGAGCCAAGGGCAGCCCAAGAGCGGACCCCCCCCCCCCCTATGCCCCTTCCGGGGGTCCACGCGCACCAGCCCTCCGAGCACTGCGCCCTGCCGCGGCGACGAGGGGCCCCCACCCCGAAGGCCAGCTGCTGTCCAGCTGTCGCCACAGGCCCTCGTGTGATCCCTCCTCCTCCCTCCCTCCTCCTCCCTCCCCCTCCCCCTCCTCCTCCCTCCTCCTCTTCCCTCCTCCCTCCTCCCTCCTCCCTCCTCCCTCCTCCCTCCTCCTCCCTCCTCCCCCAAGGGTCGTGGCGTCGTCGTTCTTCAACCTGCTGATGGTCGCGCTCATCGCCGCGAACGCGCTCTTCGTCGCGGCGCAGGCCGCCCGGGGCGCGGGCGCGCCGCCTCGCCTTCGAAGCTTGGCACCCTCCCTGGCTGCGCGCTTGATGTGGTGGGCCGCCCGGTGTGGGGCCGCGCGGGCGGGGCCTGACTGGCCACCTGCGTTCTCGAGCGAGGTCCAGCTGCAAGTGCAGCGCGCAGAGTTCTCTTCGATGTCACGATTTAGCGTTTTCTTCGATGCCACGATCTCTACCACCGATTCGGAGCTCCACTGCGATGTCTTGTCTTGTCTTGTCCTGTCTTGCCCTCCTCTTCCCGTGCGCGCGCGCGCGAGGGCGCGGGTGCAGGCGCAGGTGCAGCCCCGGGCGTGCTCCTGGCCACCCCCCCGCCCCAGAGTCCCAGAACTCAGGCGTGGGGGGAGGAGGAGGGAGGAGGAGGAGGAGGAGGAGGAGGAGGGGGAGGAGGAGGGAGGAGGAGGAGGAGGGAGGAGGAGGAGGAGGGAGGAGGAGGGGGAGGAGAGGGGGAGGAAGGAGAGAGGAGGAGGAGAGGAGTAGGAGGAGGGAGGAGGAGGGATGGTTGTGGTGTGGGGCCGCGCGGGCGGGGCCCTCGCTGACGGTCGCGGGGCCCTGCGGGGGCCCCCCGCGAGAGGCCGAGGACAGCCCCCCCGAACCCTCCGCTGTGAGCTTTTTCCCAACCATCCTGGGGTGTTGGGTCCTCGCCCCGCGTTCCTCCATTCCTTTTCCTGATCATTTTTGTTTGTGTTTTGTTTTTTTTGAGCCCTTTTCCTGATCGATACCTTCTCCCGGTCGCACCCCGAGGCCAGTTTTGTAGGGCGGGCCCTGCGTTTCGCCGAGGACTTCCTCATCACTGCTGACCCTGAAACTTCAACATTGGCAACAGCTTCACAGATGGAGGGGGCCGTGTACAAAGTGTGGCTCTCGCCTTAGCGCCGCGCACATTCATTTAAATATTTGTAAGAGTTTCGCGGATGGAGGGCGACCCGTTTTCAAAATATGGTTCTCGCCTTATCGCAGCGCGCATTATTTTTGAAGGCATTGCAAGAGTTTCACGGATTGAAAGCGGTTCTTTTCCAAATGTGGTTCTCGCCTTAGCGCCGCGCGCATTCGTTTTTTAGACGTGCAAGAGTTTCACGGATTCCCATGATCAACGTACCAGAAATGGCGTTCTGGAAGGATTCTGGATTATGAGGGTGCAACAGTCACGTTGAGTTGCGGCGTTGGAATCCCGGGAATGGTGGTCTGGCGCGATTCCAGATCGTCAAGACGCACCAATCAGGTTGATCCGTGGCGTTGGAATCCCGAGAACAATGTTTCGGCTTGCGTCAGGGTCTTCAAACAGTTGTCTTCCAACGAGGCAGTTCCATCTGTGGAAATGAACCGTTGTAGGGGTATATGACAAGAGCTTGGAGGGAGGGTTTATCTGAACATCGTTGATGACTCTTTTGTTTACACTGGGCACTCCTCCTCCCCCTCCTCCCTCTCTCCTCCCGCTGCTTCCATTTCGGCGCACCCCGCACACCCTTCGTGGCCTCATAAGGAGCTCCACCGAAGGCCCCAGTGGCAGGGCCCGCATGCAGTTCCACCTCCATGTCGGCGCACCCCTCACACGCTTCGTCGGCCGCATAGGGTGCTCCGCCGAAGGCCCCAGTGGCAGGGTCCGCATGCAGTTCCACCTCCATTTCGGCGCACCCCTCGCATGTCTCGTGGCCACATATGATACCCCGCTGAAGGCCCCAGTGGCAGGGTCCGCATGCAGTTCCACCTCCATTTCGGCGCACCCCTCACACGTTTCGTGGCCCCACAGGGTGCTTCACCGAAGGCCCCCAGTGGCAGGGTCCGCATGCAGTTCCACCTCCATTTCGGCGCACCCATCACACGTTTCGTCGGCCCCACAGTGTGCTCCGCCGAAGGCCCCAGTGGCAGGGTCCGCATGCAGTTCCACCTCCATGTCGGCGCACCCCTCGCACGTCTCGTGGCCCCATAAGATGCTCCACCGAAGGCCCCAGTGGCAGGGCCCGCATGCAGTTCCACCTCCATGTCGGCGCCACCCCTCACACGCTTCGTCGGCCGCATAGGGTGCTCCGCCGAAGGCCCCCAGTGGCAGGGTCCGCATGCAGTTCCACCTCCATTTCGGCGCACCCCTCACACGTTTTGTGGCCCCATAGTGTGCTCCACCGAAGGCTCCCAGTGGCAGGGTCCGCATGCAGTTCCACCTCCATTTCGGCGCACCCATCACACGCTTCGTCGGCCAATAGGGTGCTCCGCCGAAGGCCCCAGTGGCAGGGTCCGCATGCAGTGCCGCTCATATTCCGGCGCACACTCGAACGTTTCGCGGCCCCCAGAAGCAGGGTCCGCATGCAGTTTCACCTTCATGTCGGCGCACCCCTCACACATGTGGCCCCACAGTGTGCTCCGCCGAAGGCCCCAGAGGCAGGGTCCGTATGCAGTTTCACATCCATGTCGGCGCACCCCTCACACGTTTTGTGGCCCCATAGTGTGCTCCACCGAAGGCTCCAGTGGCAGGGTCCGCATGCAATATCACACCATGTCCGCACCCCCCCCACGTTTCGTGGCCCCACAGTGTGCTCCACCGAAGGCCCCGGTGGCAGGGTCCGCATGCAGTTCCACCTCCATTTCGGCGCACCCCTCGCACGTTCGGTGGCCTGGTAAGGTGCTCCACCGAAGGCTCCAGTGGCAGGGCCCGCACGCGGTTCCACCCTCAATTTCGTCACTCCCCTCACACGTTTCGCGGCCTCACATGGGGTTCCACCGACAGTTCCGGTGGCCGCATCCGCATGGCGTAACCGTGTCAATTTTGGCACACCCGTCACACGCGTCGTGGTCCTTGAGAAGGGTTCACCGAGGACGATACCTACAACTGCGCTACTCACAACGTCCGACGCCCCTGGCGCACTCCGCGCGCCAGGCAGGGTGGCCAAGCGCCGATCCAGGAAGTCCGGGTGGGGCTCCGAACATGTATGTTCATGCATATCGTTCTTCCTCTAAGGAGGTGGAGGCTCCGCCCCCCCTCCTCTCCTCCTCCTCCTCCTCCTCCTCCTCCTCCTCCACCTCCACCTCCACCTCTCCTCCTCCCCACCTTCCACCTCCACCTCCACCTCCACATCCACCCTCCTCCTCCTCCTCCTCCTCCTCCTCCTCCCTCCTCCTCCTCCTCCTCCTCCTCCTCCACCTCCACCTCCACCTCCACCTCCACCTCCTCCTCCTGCTCCTCCTCCTCCTCCTTCCGCGGAGGAGTCCGTGAAACACGAGGAGGCCGCGGGCGTCGGGTGGCTCGTCGTCGAGGCGCCAGCGCCGCCGCCGCGCGCGGCCCCGCCCGTCGAGGCGCCCGCGCC